TGGAAAACGAAATTCCGCCGGGACACTGCCTCAAATCTTTTTAACTTCTGTTACAACGGAACGTATTCTATCTTAGGATGCTGTCGTCACAGTCCCTGCATGCTTTAATTACTACCAACGTCAGCTTATCAAAGAAGCAGCAACAATATCAGGATTTAACGTCCAGCGCATCGTCAGTGAAACCACTGCTGCAGCCATTGCCTATGGCATCGACAAGAAGGGAATGGGAGAGCGCAACGTGCTCATTCTCGACCTTGGTGGTGGCAGTTGCAGTGTCTCTGTTATAACAATGGAAGATGGGATTTTCGAAGTGAAGTCATCTGCGGGTGAACATTTTGGAGGAATTGATTTTGACAACCGATTGGTCAATCATCTTATCGCCGAATTTAAGCGCAGGTATAACCTGAAAGCAGATCTAAGCCCTAGCGCACTTCACCGTCTTCGTCGTGCAGCAGAGGAAGCGAAGTGCAAACTTTCATATCATATTCAGGCTGCAATTGAAATCGACTCACTTCTTGATGGCAATGACTTCTACACTTTCGTCACACGTGCACGTTTCGGGGACGTGTGCGCAGACCTTTTCCGATCTACAATAGATTCTGTGAAAAAATCACTGAGAGATGCCAAGATCAGCAAGAGCCAAATTCATGACATCGTGCTTACCGGAGGCTCCAGCCGTATTCCGATTATGTGCAAGCTGCTTTCTAACTTTTTTGGAAAGGAACTTAACACGTCTTTAGATCCTGATGTGGCTGTCGCACAGGGTGCAGCCATCCAAGCAGCTATCCTTTCTGGTAACAAGTCTAAGACAATAAGAAATTTGCTGCTTCTGGATGCAATCCCTTTCTCGCTTGGCATCGAAACCGCTGGTGGTATAATGAATACAATAGTGAAAAGGAATTCGAATATACCCATTAGGATTAGACAAACTTTCACCACCTACGCAGACAATCAAATGGGGGCGCTCGTCCAGATCTTCGAGGGGGAGCGTTTTATGACTAAGGACAACAATTTCCTCGGGAAACTAGAACTGTCTGGAATTCCGCTGGCTCCTCGTCGACAACCACAAATCGAGGTAAGAACAGGGTTATGACGATAAGATCCCGGTCAGACTTCGCTGAAAAGCTCTCAAAAGCACTCAAAAACATCCAAAGGCGCTCAAATCTATTTCATCTCCCCTCATATCTCTCTAAGCTCTCCTTACACAAGTTCCGCGCTAACCTAAAAGCGCCATCATGTTAGTGCGGAACCTGTGGTGTGAGGAGAGCTGAGAGAAACGTGAAGAGAGATAAA